TTTGATGGTTTGTGCCGAAAAGTCTGCTGTAATTCTGATGGGTGTTCCCTTGTAAGTGATCTGTTTCTTGTCTCTGACGGCTTTTAATATTCTATTCTTAATATTCTGTTCTTATATTGGATTTCTGGAATTTTGATTATTATATGCCTGGGTGTAGCTCTGTTTGGATTGTAGGTGGCTGGAGTCCTGTATGCCTCATATATCTGAGTATCTTTACCATTTGCCAAATTAAGGGAATTCTCTTGGATTATTTCTGTGAATAGCTTTTGTAGTCCATTTGTTTGTATCCCCACTTCTTCTCTTATGTTCTTAATTCTTAAGTTATAGATCCTCTTATCATCTTCTACTTTTTGTATTGTTACTGTTTGTTTCTTTGTTATTTTTAAGAAGTTTTTCATTTCATGCTGCCATATTACAAATCTGCCCTCCAGTTCAGATAATCTGTCCTTAGTTTCTTTCATGCTGTTATGCCAGTTTTCGATAGTTTTTAGTTTCCTGGTAATCTCTTTGAATCTGCTTCATATATTCTATGTTTTCTCTATCTTCTCCATCAAACAATTCTCCCCTTTTTTTCTGTTCTTCCATTCCACCATCTGTTTTTTCTTGGGTGGTGCTTAGCATTTCTCTAACTATTTTGCTTATGTCTTGCTTCAGGTCATTAATAACTTCATTCCTGAACTCGTCTATGAGGCTCTGGAGACAGCGCTTTGTGTCTATTGGTGCCGTGTCTGCTATTATGTGTTTCTCAGGATTGGGGGCCAAGGACACTTTCCTGTTGCTCCCTCTTCCCATATTCTTTGTTCCTTATATTTAAGCATGTATAGGAGGCCCAGCTTCCTTCCCTGTCGGCCACAGTCTGTTTGAATTGCACTGGCTAGGTGTTCCCGCCCACTACAGTGTACTAAGGAGACACAGACCTGGGCAGCCTATGCTGGGCCCGCCCCTCCAGGTCAACCTACCAAAGGCTTCACCGTTAGGGTGTACCTCCAGGCGCTGGGACCTGAGTTGGGCTAGCCTATTGGATCTCAGCCAGCAGCGTCTCACAGGCCAGGCACTCCCCACCAATCCCACTTGAGAGGGGGATATGTGACTGAAGTCACTGCAGCTTCAAGTTCTGGGAAGTCTGCCCAATCCGAGTATGTCCTCTGCTGAAGCCTCCTTCCCTATGGAAGGGTACCAATTTGCTCACTCACCACAGGTCGATGCAGGGCACCTGGCCAGTCCCACTCCCAACTCCTTTCAACGTTTCCCATTCGCCAACCTTTCACGCCTCTCTCCCCGCTGTGCCAACTGAGATGCAACAGCGGCTGCAGGTAATTCAAATCGCAGTTTCCAGTGGCGCGGGTCTGGCTTCCATGCTGAGACCTTATCTGTGCCTGCTGTATCACCAGGATTGCGTTTCCCGATGGTTTCTCTTAATTTAATTCGTTCCTGGGTCAGCAAAGAATATCCGCCCTTGCCTGGGACTTCCTGTCCAGCACCATTCGTAGATTTCAAGTGCGGTTCCTCAGAGAGCCTCTGAGGCTGCTGCTATCTATCTGCCATGTTCTTCCCGACTCCGGTTTTACATTGTCTTAATATGTTTGATGCTACAGTATATGAAGTTATACTCAAAGATGTCAAGGAAAGAGACACTATCGTAACTACTTTTACTTTTACGTTGGGATATCTGGTAGTGGAACACTATTTTGCTTAAATTGTTATATTTTCTCCTGTGCTGTTTTGCTGTTATGTCCTCTTTTATCTCAATCTCCTTTTTTTTATTATTTACTTTTTTATTTTTATCTTTTTAATTAAGGGAAAAATTTTTAAAAAGCAGGATATATTATAGTAAACTACTTTGATTTCCTAGTAACTTGATTTGAAACCCTGTATTGCTCTCACCATCTTGTTTTGACTGATTTCCCTCTGTTCCATTTTGCTTGATACTACCAAGTTTGAGAGTATAGGCAACAACTGTGAAGACATAAGATTCATTATGACACCCATTCTGGTTTGATTATTATCTTCTTTTGAAGTCCTGTAATATCTCCAATGTTTTGGTTTTATTAGGTTTGTTCTTTACTGTTTTGTTCAATTTTATAATAACTGATGATATAGGCAATTCTTTTTAAGATAACAAGAGGCATTATGGTAACCACTGTTGATCACCTTGTTTTTTGTTTTTACAGTATGTATTATGTCCATCTTTTTGATTTGACTGACTCTGTTTTGTTATGTCATATTTGGTTTTATTTTCTTCAAAAAAAGTAATAAGAACTGTGGGAGTAATAAAACCCAAAATGTGTAATTGTCATTGTACAAAAGAAAGGAAAAGAAAGTGCTCTAAAGATATAACTGCATGTATATTTAAGTGTGTAAGACAGATAGACATATTACTGAGTTTTGTTGGATCATTGAACAGAACTGTGTGCAGTCTCACTGTTTGAATGTCCACTTTATATGCTTTAATTTTGTAACTTGAACAACTATTTCTAAGATGACAATATGTAATCTATTAACTAGTGATTTCCTACTGTTTATTTTTTCTGAAATTCTTTCTAACTTGTACCCTTTTTGTTTTTTTTCTTTTTCTCCTTAAATAAAATTAAAAAAAAAAAAAAGATACTTTCCAAAGAAAGAAGACATGCACAAAATATCAGACCCAAAATGACTCTAGGTGTAAGGCTCCTGAGTACTGTACAGCGAACCAATCAGAAAACAATATTCTCAGTCCTTCATTTGAATCTGGCACTCTGTGCAGGATCAATCAGTAGGTGCTATTCTCAATCCTTCGTTTACATATGGTGAGGCCAGTCAAAAGACACTGTTTCCGCTTCTTCATTTACATCTGGCAAGAGGTCAAGCAAGTTTTTCCAAAGGACAATATTTACATCCGGTGTGAGACCTCGTGATTTTTGACAAGACTGTAGATCCAGTGCCATACATGTATGAAATGGAGGCCAATCCAGATATTTTGGATACTAAAGACCTCTTTCTCTTTATCTTTAGGACAGTGAGCCTTTCCATCACCAACTCTAACCCTGCAGAATGTACTTTTCTCTGCCTTCAATAAATACATACTCTCATTGCCTTTTCTATGTGTTTTCCTACTGGATCTGTAAAGAAATTACCCAAGAGCCCCGTCCAGTAACAGCATTAAGACTGTGTGCATGTATCTCTGTCTCTATATGTCTCTCTCTCTCTCTCTGTGTCAGCAAAGTACAGTTCACTAAGTTGCCCTGCTGATCTCAAACCTGAAATCCTCCTCCTGCAACCTCTTAAGTAGCTGGGACGACAGGCCATGGACATATCTTTATCCAGAGCTTCCTCATTTAAAAACAGGGATCATAATACTTATTTCACAATGATTATCAAAACTTTAAAAAGATAGAAATACCTTAAGCAATAAGTATATAGCACGTACTCAGAAATGGAAACAATTATTATTATCACTATGTCCATATTCAGTACTGCTTCTGGAAAAGCACAATTTGTAAGATCTTCTGATAGGTATGAACCTCTTACATACATAATGAAAGTATACTTACATCAGTTCTGTGTAGTAGACATATGTGAAAAAAACTAGAATCCCTATGTGTGCCTGTTTTCTAAAAATAAGCATGTCACGTTCCCAGGAGGATTGGCTAATCCATCAATACTTGTGATAGGCCTTTCTGAAGACAATCCTGCTCTGCCTTTCAAGTACTGATGAGCTCAGCTCTAAATTCTCAGTACACAAAGACTCCCACATAAGTTAATGCGAAGTCAATGGGAAATTGACTTTTCCTATTTCGTGCTGGTTGGAATGTAATGCTCTGTTAATCATGCCATCCTTCTTGTCCTCTTTCCTCCTATCCTAAATTAAAACTATTGGCGGAAACCCCATACAGATAGTTTACAGTTTTCATTACAATGAAACAATACTGTGGTGGAAGCAGAAGCCTATCAAAAACCTAAAACCTCACTGCTGGCTGTGATTAGAGTCTCCACAAAAGCAAGGGTCCTGATTCTACCAAAATATCACTTTGCATTTGTATAGAACTTTTAACTTTTCAAAGGGCTTTCACACATATCATCCTTTTCACACCTATCATCATTTGATGTCTCAATGACCCTGTGCAGAAGAAAAGGACAAGTATTATTATCCACAATTGACAGATGAGGCATCAGTAGCATACGAAAGATTAAGTGATCTGCCTACAGCGAGGAAATCAGAGAAGAGCTATGATCTCCTACTTCTACTCCAGTCCTCTAGAAGATCACTGAAAAAGGCTTTATAAACAGATTATAAACTCTAATAAAATAAAATAAAATTGATACAAAAGCTCAAATCATGGGTCAGGGAAGCTATATTTCTTCATCATTGCTGAATTTTTCAAGCTTAATATTAAAGCTTAGAAACATACCCTTTTCTCTTCTTTATTTCAATCCCAGACAAGTATTAATGCAAATTTTCACTAGAATTTGAAAGAGAAAAGAAAATTCTTTCCCAGCTATATTCAAATCACTTTGAATCCATAAGGAACCATCTAGTTCACTCCGAGGTATGGGTAGGAAGATGGGTAGAAGTGAAATAACCGACAGCACATCTTTAAATCCAGTATACGTGTTAAGCCTGCAGCTACAATGTAACTATAGTCTGAAAGGGTGAAAGAGATCTCCAGTTGAAAATAGATTTTGAAAAATTTTTAGAGCCCAGGGGTTCATTTTTAATGAGCCGTTACTTTAAGTACTGCATAAAAAAATACAGGAAATTGATAGTCCATTTAGTCTGCACCATACCTAATGCAAAAGTCATTAAGATGCATTATTCTTAATGTTCATGATATGATCAGTAAGTGTCTTTTGAAAAGAAATGCCCTTAACTTTCACATAAGGAACTCTTTGAAAACCTTATCTATTATACAGACAACGTTATGGCAATTGTGATTACTTGCATGTCTTCACCATGCCCAAAAAGCAGCATCCTCAATTACATTACCATTTTTAAGGCTAGTCCTCATTTGTAAGATGCTTACATATGACAGCATTGCCTTCATTTCTTCATCACTTCTCACAGTAATTCTATCACCATCTTCATCTTCATCTGTTTAAAGAGAAACATAAACCAAGGGATAAGCTTTGCATTTTTTTAAGAGAACAAAAATCATGCTGCTTGGGAACATAATACAACTGGGCTTTTTACAGCTTGATATCTAAACCCTCAACCCCATGCTTACTGTGGGGTATTGGAATTATTAGTATGCTGTCTTATGTTTGCTTAGAATATAATCAGAATCTTCAGAAAGATCTAAAATTTTGTTTTAGGAGTGAGTGTAAATCAAAATACTGCTCATGTCACTCATCACACACATCCAGTTAAAGCAAATGTAAATGGAGTACAACAAAGTATGCTTGGGAATTTTAAAAACCAAAGAAAAGCCAGTCCTGCTCCACTAACAATATACTTCTGTTTAGTAAAAAGCACCCTTCTTCCTCTATTCCTCCACTCTTCCTTTCTCTACAGCAGCCTATCACACCACAGAAGCACAGCACGAATGGCTAATGTTTACTGAGCACCACTTATATTCAAGGTACTGTGACAGGTGCTTCATAGGCGATACCACCATTAAAACTACAACCCTATGATGTGGACATCATCATTACTTCTCTCTCTTTCTCTCTCTCTCTCCTTCCCTCCTCCCCCCCCTCCCCCCTTTGCAGAAAAAGAGCCTGAGGCCTAGCACAAGGTTAACTAGAAAAACAACTCCTGATCAGGTCTTTCTATCTTCCATCTGGTCCAGCAGTAGATTTCTTTTCAAACAGTTTCATTTTGTATGGGCGACTCCCTGATTTTAGCAAGCCTCCAGAAGTGATTCAGGTTATTCTGAAATAAAGTAACAGTCTTAACACAAAGAACAGTATGTCTTTAGGAAATACATCACCAGAATGCATACACTTACAGAAGTCTCCTCAGAGGGGTCATATCCAGAAACAATGCAGACTTCAATAATTCTCTTCATCAAAATAGTTTTGAAATATTTCTTCAAAAACTTTTAAGAATCTAAAGATAGATCATGTAAGATCTCAGACCTGATCTTACTTTCAATGCAAAATGGAACTGCTGACCACATCACCTATCTTTGCCATCAGATGACTTCTGGCTCTTTCTAAATATTTCACTAGACATGTCATCCCTTCTCAAAATAAAGATTCATAAATAATAAGCATATCTGATGAACTAAGTACACTGTTGAAAGAAAAATGCCCAGAACATCTGAGCAATATGTGTCGCATGGTGACAACGTGAAAGGAACTCTTGGCCTTATAATTGCTGACCAATCAGATGCAGAGAATGTGCCAACCCCAGGGTGCCAGGCCAGACACCTGTTGTGAAGAGAATTAGCTTGTGGGACAAGCCGTGGGGTTTTATGACAGAACCAGGGGATTCGGTTCCTACATACGGCTCTTCCCCCACTGCACATGTGCAGCCCAGTCTTTCCTGTCCAGCTGCAGTTCTGAAGAGGTCCGCCTGCTTGGTGATCTGGCCAGGGGACACTAGCAGGGGCCCAATTAGCCTACTGCCCAGAAAAATGCTACTACCTCCTTCTTGTCAGTAGCCACCTAACAGCATGATGGAAATGCGCCCACCAGACAGCTGAAAAGCAAAACATAGCACACGGTACTCAGTGACCGTCCACTCGGTAACCACACCAATAGCTCACACGAAGTCTTCTTTTCAAAGCATTTGTTTCTGGCCCCGGCACGCTGGGTCTGTGCGGAGATCCCAGACTTGATGTGATTAGTATCCTCAAGTCACTCTGTTCACAAGGGAGGGGCTGTCGAGAGACACTACAGGTACCCTGCTACCTGGGGCTGTCTGTTCTCAGTGTAAAAGGCGCACACTGAGACTATCAGCAAGAATGGACACCCACAAGGGCTGTGAGGAATCTAGAACATTCTCTTTCTTTTTCAGTATAGACTAAGGCCAATCTGAGAGAGAAATGCCATTTATTTGTTTGTTTGTTTATTTTGTCTTTTTGAGACACAGTTTCACAATACAATTCAGGCTGGCCTTGAACTCACTTTGTAACCTAGGCTGGCTTTAAACTTGCAGCAATCCTCCTGCCTCAGCCTCACAAGTACTGGCATTACAGCTGTGTCCCACTACACTCAGTTAAGAAATGCCATTTTGGTTATAGAAACAGAAGAAAGGACTTTCTGTATACTTCCTAGAAAATATCAGTTTTCAAGGATATTACAAGTTTTCTTTAAAAAGCATTGGACAGTGAGGAAAAAACAGAGTATAAAAGAATACACTGCTACATATTACCACACGTGAAAGCACTTTATATTGCTTTAAAACCAGGTCAGATTCTGTTCTAGCCTGAAGGGAGGAGTTCTTTGTAACTCTTTTTTTTCTACACCAGAGCAGGCTTCTATGGAATCTCTTAAGGGACTGTTTCAGAAGGGGAAAAATAATCTCATAGAATTCAACTAGTAGCAAGCATAATTCTGTGCAGACCAGCTCTGTAAAAAGCAGTTATAAAGCGCTATCACTGAAGCACTTGTTTAAGCAGATGGAAAACTCAGGCTTTGATGCCAAACTTGTTGTAAAGTGTTGTAAAGACCCCATCAGGGGTCTGACTCAAAGAGAAAGATTTCAGGTAAGCTGAAAGGAGCATTCCAATAAAGCCTGGAGATAAAACCAGGCTTATGTGAACAGCATGATTGATAACTCTTGAGACTAGATTTTATCTCAATCCTGGCTTTCTTTGGGGACCTGTCTGCTTCACTGTAGTATCTCCACCTAGTTGCTTCAATGAAGACTATTGCCTGTTCAAAGAGACTAAAATTGGAAAAATAACCTTATCCATGAGAACAATGGTAATTCTGGCCAAAAGGCAAAATCTAAGTTGTCTCTAATCCTTTCACGGCAGCCCAAGTGAAAAGCATTTGCCGTAACATTTAAAATGAGTGCATGTTTCTCTCTGAAGACAGGTCATGGACAGCAATAAGGAGTGAGTGAAGGTAAACAATCAGAAGTACATGCCAAATAATCTAATGTGACAGTATCCTAGAATAATAAAAGGCTGGACAAATACGACCCATCTCACAAACACTCTCAAATGGGCTTAGCTATTACAAGTTACACTAGGAAGAATTATAAATCATGAACTTACTAACATGGCACAAAAACTTTGAAAGGTATATGTTGGTGAAGAACACTGGAAAGTAGTGGTACTAAAGTGGAAAGAGGTAGAAAAATAACTCAAGCTCTTTCCATCTTACACATGGAGGGCCTTTGCCATCTGACCAGGAAAGCATTACTGTATATAACCAAGGGAAAGAGGGGGGCAGATCTGACGCACTGGTTCACAATGAGAACTTCAGGCTTCTCTAGTTGCCTGGAGCACAGTAATATGATTTTCCAGAACATTAGGGAAGCAAAAGTAGAACTAGAAAGTCTATGTACTGGTTGGATTTTGTTAATGTCACTTAAAATGGAGGCAAAAATCCTAGCAAGACACCAAATAGAGTGCAGCAGATGGTAAACAAATATTATGAAGCAATCTTCACAAAATCTGCAGTGTTTTCACAAATATACAAAATGGAAGAGTTTGGGAAAAGAGAATCATAACAGGCCATATGTTGTTAACCATTTTATTGGAAGCAACATGCAATCCAAAAGAGAAACCTAGAATGGGAGCATAAGGGCCTCCTAGAAAAGCAGCAGTGCAGGTCGGTCTGGTCACGAGATTGCCCACGGGAAGAACAGGAACAGGGTGGCCCAGGCAGACGGTGCTCAAGAGGGCTCCTGGGAGAGGAGACAGAGAGGCTCTGAACAAAGAGCAACAGAAAGCTAAGGCAGTATATTCTGTGTCATTTGTCACACTCCTGTGTCAGGTGGGAGATAATCAGGACTACAGTAATGGTACTTTTCCCAGCCAAGAGGAAAGAAATGAAAACACATCTGGAGAGGTTATAAAGACATCAACAGGAAATTACCAGAAAGGACGTCAAGTTTAGAGCCCTTCTCAGCAGTGGAGTCCAACAATCCTGGCAGGACAAGAGACCACGGTTCTTATGGCCACACCTTCGTATCTCCACGCTGCCCTCTTGATACTTCTCAGATTGTTTCCTTCCTCTTTGGAGCAAATGAAAGCGCCCAGTACATGGCAAGCATTTAACTGGGCACTACGAGGGTAACAGTACAGAAAGCAAGCTACACCAACGTCCCAAATTGCAGTGCTTCCACTGAAGGAGGGAGATAGGACAATGGGCCACGGGCATGTGGACAAGTGCATTCCAGCAGAGGAAACAGTGAAGGCAGGGCCCTGAGTTAGGGGAGGGAGTGGGGTGGCCAGAAGAGAATGAGAAGTGGAGAGAGAAACAGACAAGTCCAGAGAAAGCGTGGTGGGCCAGGGTTGGGAGGATAGGAAATCTCAGGGCGTTGGCAGGCATTTGGATTTGGCTTATATTCTAGAGGGTATTTTTTAAATGTCACAGATGATCTTTCAAATTTTTAAATTATAGTTATTAATACATAGTAACTGTACATAGTAACTGTACATTAACTGGCTTCATCGGGACATTTCCATAACTGCAGATGCTGTGGTTTGACACATGACCCCACCCTTCCCCTTGTTTCTCTGCTACTCTTAGATCCTCTTGTTTAAATTCCAATTTCCACACACAAGAGAAAACGTGACACCTGACTTTCTGTGTGTGGCTTATTTTGCTTAACATGATAACCTATTTACTTTCCAGCAAATGGCATGATTTCATTCTTATTCATGGTTGAGTAAGACCCTATTGTGCATATATACCGTATTCGCCTTGCTAATAATTTACCTTTTTATTAGTAGATGTTTGTGAGGTATTAATAATGGTATTCATCTTGGAGAACTAGTATGTATACAAACACAACACACACACACACACACACACACACACATTGCATTTTGATCATTTTTATTCTCCCTTCACACCCAGCCCTCCCCTCTCCCCACTTAATAGATCCCCTTCCCATTCCACAAAGTCTAATTCCCTGTTTTGCATCACCTCTCTTTTATTTTGCTTTTTAGACTAACTGTATTTTGGGTTTCTTATATTAGTGAAACTATGCAATATTTAACTGTGTCTGACTGCTAATATGACCTCAAGATCCATCCATTTTTCTACAAATGACTCAAATTTACCCTTCTTTATGGCCAAGGAGTGAACACATGTGCGCACGCACATTACATTTTCTTTACCCATTTATTTGTTGCTGGGCATCTGGAGGTTTATGTGTCATAACTTCAACTAACACCTAAGAGAATCACTCTGCTTAGTGGAGATGAGACTGCAGGGAGACAAAGGGGGACCCAAGGAAATAGGAGGCCCCTGCCTACTCTAAGTGACAAATGATAGTGGCCTATAAACCAGGTGATGGCATTTTTGTCCTTTTATCTTCCCTCCCTTTTTTCCTTCCTTCTAACCCTCCCTTCGAACAGGATCTTGCTATGTTACCCAGGGTGGCCTTGAATTCCTAGACTCAAGCAATCTTCCTGTCCAGGCCTCCTGAGTAGCTAAGACAAAATGCCACCATGCCTGGCCAAGCTGAAGTTTCGAGAAGTCTTCACATGTTGGATCTATTTTGAAGACTGAGTCCATAGGGTTTGCTGGTGAATGGGATATGGCTATAGAAGGCCTGCCCTTATTACCTCTCCTTGGCTATCCATGCATTCCAGAATCACACTGAGTTACCACATGCCAGGAACTCCAGCAGGATTTCTAGAGATTCAAAATGAGCAGCATTGTCCACTGACTTCCAGAAGCAACTAGTCCAGTCCTTTTGTAAATAATTTACACTTCAACATAGTGGTCACACTTGTAACCCCCAAATTCTGGGAGGCCGAAGCAGGAAGATTGAAAATTTGAGCCTGGCCTAAGCAACTTAACAAGATCCTGTCTCAATTTTTTTTTTTAAATTGGTACTGGGAATCGAACTCATGACCACCTGCTTGCAAGGCAGGTGCTTATGCCGCTGAGCTAAATCCCCAGCTCCTCTGTCTCAAAATTTTTAAAAATTCAAAAAGAAGTAGGGATGTAGTTCATTGTCAAGGCTCTGAATTCAATTCCCAGTATCACCCAAACAAAACAAAACACTTCTCAATTTTACAAATTAGCAAGATAACTATTAAGAAACAACAGCTCTCATAAGACTGAAAAAGATCTGGAATTTTTACATTAATGATTGTTTGAAGTCAAAAGTTCAAAAAATTAAAGCTCTCTTCAAATCATCTCAAATTCTAGAATGCATGACCTCTTACATGTTATTTTAGACACAATGTAGCTTTATTATGAATTAAAGTTTCACTTAATTTGTTTATAAGTAACAGTTTATCTTTTACACATACAACAGTTCAAGAAAGTAAAATTTTGTTTCTTCTAAATGATATGACCTGAACTTTTCTCAAAAGCAAAAAGGGTCTCTTACCCAACTATTCCTCATGTGACAGGCTTTGCTATTTAGACAGGCCTCCAGGTATCAGCTATATTTGTTTTCTACAATCTAAAAACCTACAACTTTTACATAATTGCAATTTTCTTTTAAAAGGTCATACTATCCCTAACTTAAGATATAATATCGTTTTAAAGGTTTCTACCTAAAATACAAAAATAATCTTAAAAAAAAGAAACTGAAGGGAATCTATTCAATGAGAAGTAAATATAAAATAGTGATGCCTGAAGAAAGGCACAAAATAAGTATCTCATAACTGTATATTTGGAACCAAACTCAGATGTACAGTTGACCAGTATGAAGATACCTTGAGGTCTGGAGACCTGAACAAGGCAGGGTTAGCGTCACAGGAAAATAAAAACCTAGTACTTATGAGTGAGTCAACGTTTGTCAGTGGAGACTTGAAACGTATCTTTCAAGTCACGAGTGACATCTGACTGACAGCAGTCAGACAGTCATTTTATGGAAGAGACCTTTTCTTTTTCTTTTTCTTTTCAGCACTGGAGAATGAGTCCAGGGCCTTCACACTGTGCTACATTCACAGCCCCTTATATTTTAAGATAGGGCCTTACACAGTCCGTAAGTTGCCTAGGCTGGGCTCAAACTTGTGATCATCCTGTCTCAGCCTCCCAGAGTGCTGGGATTCCAACTATGCCATTCCTTGTGCAGAGAAAAGCCAGGGAGAGGAACCCAAATCACAGACACTCACAGCAAATGCACCAGTGACCATGGTTGACTTTTAGCACCTCGTGCTGGTGTGCTGGTTTATGTTAATGAAATTGCAAAAACCAGCAGGGATGGCTGGGCCTATGCAAGCATCTGGATCCTATGCCCTACATTTGGGGCATATATATATATATATATATATATATATATATATATATATGTTGTTTATGGTTATAGAATTTAACCTCATCTGAGAAATGTCCTCACATCTGGGAAAAGGCAAATTATTCAATAACTAGCATGGAGTTAACTATCTGTCTGAAAAATAAAGTTGGATCCCAATTTGACTTCTTTTGCCAAACTAAAATGAAGATGTTACAAGAATTTTTTTCTGACCTTTGTAATAAAAAAATGCATGCCTGGCTGAGTGTCGTGGCACCTACCTGCAATTCAAGCACTCATGAGGTAGAGGCAGGACTGCTGTGAGTACAAGGCCCGCCTAGGCTACATAGTGAGTTTAAAGCCAGCCTGAACTCAATAGTGAGACCTGTCTCAAAAAAACGAAAACAAAAAAAACCAGCATGCTTCTTCTTGTTATTATTATTACTATTATTTGGTACTGGGGATCGAACTCACAACCTCACACTTGCCAGGCAGGTGCTTAAGCCACTGAGCTAAATTCCTGGCCCATGCTTATTGTTTTTAAAATATCCACAATATGTACATATTTATATATACATGTATTTATATATGTAACTAACACATGTGTGATAACCTCATTAAAGTGCAAAGGAAAAAAGACTACAGATGTTTTTCCAATATCCTGGAATGTGGAAGCTCTTTCTAAGCCTTAACTAACCCAGAAGTCACAAAGGAACCTATGATAAATTTGACTGTGAAAAATTTAAATTCTATGGGGAAAAAAAAGTAAAAATACCAAAACAGTGCTCAGCTCAGCAGTGCATATATTAAAATTAGAACAACACGATGAAGACTAGCATGGGCCCTGCACAAGGATGACATGCAAATTCGTGAAGTGTTCCATGTTTTTTAAAATATCATTCTGGGAACCAAAATGGTTAAAAGAACAAATTCAGGTAAAAGTTTCTTTATGTCATTTAATGTCTTATAATTAGATAACTGAATGAAAAGCAGTTTTAGACTAAGATGGACATTTAAAGATGTTTCAGAGATAATACCAAGATTGTTATGCTGAAATACTATACATGGCTCTTGATCTCACGTTTTCTCTGTAAAACTTTAAATTGTCTATTAACATTTTACAGGGATTTGACTTCTAAAACAACCATGATTGGTAAGAAATAATAGTCCTCTGGCTATTCTTTATATTTCAAAGTGCTGGCTATCCAGATAGGATTATAATAGTTACACTCACTGCTCCCACTGCAATACGGATGCACTGATCTTCTATTCTGGGTGTTCAACAATTAAAGTTTGGAGACAGAACTGGAGAGGTAACTGAGGTAAGAGGACAGCTGTTATAGTCAGGGATTGCAAGGAACACAATTATATATAGCACATATAATTTGTAATATTACTATATAATGGTCACCCAGAGTCCAACACAAAAGAAAGAGTGCAGGAAATCTGTCCTTATGCTAAGACCCAAAGAATCCAGCTGAGGGCCTGGATCCCATGGTAAATCCTGCATGAGTCCAGCTGAAGACCTAGAGCCTATGACAATGTCTCATGCAAGTCTGCTTCGGGTCTGCACAGGAAAGGCCCAAAAGTCAGCGGCAGAAGCCAGAAAGTCTGTGCTAGCACGATGAAGGATCTGTGCCAGCTGGTTGAGGGATCTGCATTGCATCCAGGAAGCAATGCTCAAAGTAAGGACCGGGCTGCCCATAAAAGTATCACCGCCATCTTTAGAGACAACAAGGTCCTGGGCTCCTCCAATGATGAGAACAGCCAAGTCCATATCAGGAAGCCAGTGTGACAAGCTTCTCCTGAAGACTGAACAGTATACATCTTCCCCACTGGAGCCAAGAAGCGATGCTCAAAGGATCAAAGTTCTCCCAAAGTAAATCACAGTCATTCTCAGCAACAAGGTTCTGAGCTCCTCTGACAATGAGAACAGCCAAGTTCACATCAGGAAAGAAGCTTGACAAGCTTTTCCAGGAGAACCCATGGCAACAGGAGAATCAACAACACCATGGAGAACCAACAATACTACTCTTCCTCTCTGTTCATCTTGGCAACAATCCTTAGGTGGATTGCACCCGGCCAATTCAGTTCAGCTGGTCTTACAAGTTGACCACCAGTTACCAACACACAACAGCCAATATTTTGTCCCTTGGTCTCCAAGGTCAATGAGAGCCCATGACATGAGAACCTTTTGAACTGGATCCTATAACTTTGGTGGGCCACCCAACCTCCTGAGCAGGGAAATTGCTGGACCCCAAAGGACAAAAATCAACGAATGTAAAGTGTGTCAAAAAAAGAAGTTCACCAAAGAGGGAAAAGTCTCCTGTGCTTTCACAGAAAGCATCATGGTCAAGCAAGACCATGACCCATCCTGGTAACTGACACTGACAGAGGAGCTGAAAGGCTCTGTATATGGTTCTAAAAGTAAAGCCTGAGGAGACTTAACTGACTTTGATAGACAGCAGCCAGAGGTTAACTTTCATTAACATAAGTCTTGCTTTAACTCAGTCTTAAACACTCAGCAGAAAAGTATAACCAAAAGATGTATGAAAACAATACCACAGTAATAAAAGCTAAATATAAAAAGGGGCTCCAAGTGCTGACCTTCTGAGAGTTTCCACCTACAACAAGAGCTTACCACTGTTATGGTTCAGCAAGGCTAAAAAACTACGTGGAAAGTATAAAAGCTCAATAAGCATCTTTAAATTCCTTAGCTAAAACTGTCTTTCAAAACCACCAAATTCTCCCCATCTTCTTACTGCTAAAACTAGAAGGACTTATATCAAGAAACATCAGGGGCTGGAGGTTTAGCTCAGTGGCATAAGCACCTGCCTTGGAAACAGGCAGTCGTGAGTTCGATCCCCGGTACCGATAAAAAGGAAAAAGACCAAAAAAAAAAAAAAAAAAGAAACATCAGACTTAGAGATAACCTCTCATAGAAGGGGTCTAAAAGCCAGCTAATACAATCACTATGCCAGTCCCTTAAGAGCAGTTTTTGAACCTGGCTCTTTCCCCAACCTGCTTCTCCATTCTAATGTTCATGCTTTGATATGCTTTAATTTCTTGGAAAATTTATTTATTCTTGGCCAGAGGCTGTCAAACTCCAAGTGATCATGCAGATGGAACCAACAACAAAGTGCCAGGCTCTTTTTACTGAGATCTATTAGATCAGCCTCACGAAGGGAGCTCACAACTGCTAAACCCCAACATGACTTCTATCCAAGGCCCATTAGGGGGGCTCCCTTTGAAGAAGGCCCCTGACTTCGATCTCCTCTACACCAACCCTTCTCAGCTCAAAGCAGCTAGATGGAAACTATGCTCCTTCTCCCCTAATTGTAGTTAGGGATACCTCTTCAAGGCACGAATATTACAGACAGCTAAATTAGGTAGAGATATTATGGGCAGTCAGACATGGCTGGGCCCGTTCAGGAGTCAGTGCAGAAGATGAAAACACACAAAACTGTAGCTGGCAGCACCTCGGAAGAAGATTAAAGTCATAGTGGGCAGATTCACACATTGAGATTTCCACATAAACAAACCATTATCTCATTAGAGGTGGGCCATATTCTCCCACCCACTGAACTAAGACTAGAACTAGTAAGACTAAAGACAAGACTAAGACTATAGATTATGGGTTAATGATGCCATCCATATGGCCTTGCTGCTGTGGGGTCAATATTAGCCAAGCAGCTATACTTGTAATTTTACTGGTTGACTATAGTTTTGACCCATGTTGTACCACACTTCATGATTTTGCTCTATAAAATTTACTCAGAGGAATGTACTTTTAGGCAAACTACTTGGGACCCCTCTTGTATCTCAAGTGCTATTCCTATCCCCCCCCCCGCAAATTTTCCTACTCTTAAAAAAAAGCTAAAAAGAGCAACAAATGAACAATAATTCTTGTAACATAAGACAACGGGACAATTTTCTTAATATCGGAAAGCTCTCCTGCCTATTCAAAAAAGACAACCTACTAGAAAAACAGGCAAAAGTGACTAAAAGTAATTCATAGGTGTTAAATACAATGGAAAGATGCTACAGCTTATTTATAATTAAGGAAATATAAAATAATTATTTTTTCACCTATCAAACCGACATTGACTAAAACATTGTTAATGGTGTTAGTGAGAGTGGAGAGAAATGGGAAGTGCAGACTGGCTCTACCTTTGGAAGGCAAACATAACAACTATGGAAATGCAAAATACAGGCACCCTTTGTCTCAGTAGTTTCATTCTCAAGAATAAGTGCATTTCCACAATGTGGAAAGATACAACAATGCTAACGAACTCAGCATTTTTTCTAATACTGAAAAACTGGTAACTTACATGCCCATCAGGAGGTTAAATACACAAAGTTATGGCCATACAATTAAGTCCAGTATAGTCATCAAAAAGAATGAAGCAGATCTGTGTGCGTTGATGTTGGAAAGAGATTTAACATATGCTATTAAGAGCAAGCCGTGGAAAGTAGTTGCAGCTTGTTCTATATTATGTATGGATAAAATCCCCATAAAGAGACAGAAGAAACTGTTAACAGTGAAACCAGAGGATGTGAGGAAAATGGAGGTTTTACCTTTTGTTTTATTCTAAACTGCTTGATTTTTTAAAAGATTGTATCTTTTTAATTTAAAAAATAATTAAACACTAGCTATTAAAAAGAACTTTATTTGTGCTCTAGTTGTGAGGGAGAAAGGATCTAAAAGAAGTATAGTACCATCAATCCAAAAGGTGAGTCAAGCAGAGACAGGCCTTCTGCCTCCCATCCAGCCTTCTCTCCATCTGGAAACACCATCACCAGCACAAATAACCCCCAAAATGAAATTACTCATTTGGCTTTTGAGTGCATGCATTTTATCATTTTCGGTTGAATATGAACACATAGAGCATTCCATTTTGTTCAAAGTGTGTTCCTCTAAAGTGCTACAACTCAGTAACAGGACAAGAGCAGAAGTGAGTTAAAGCACAGGGCTTATCCAAAAGCGAAGGGGAGCGAAACCCCTACACAATCAGCCAGAAGGTTCCACACTATAGTGAAGGGCACAGAGATGACTCCATCTGGAATTATCAATGGTTTCACTGCAGAGATGGCACTGCTCAGCACTGAACAATCTGCACACCTCCAGATCTTTCTCCTTTCTATTTCTCCACTTTTTCCATATTTAAGTAAAATGGAGATCTGATGGCTATCTCTTACTATTTAATTTAGAACACTAAACATAATTCTCTGTCTCTCCCTCTCTCTTTTTACAATACTGAGAATTAAACCCAGAGCCTTTATACTGAGTTACATCCCAAGCCCTGTCTTATTTTGAGACAGTTTTGCTACATTGCACAGGCTATCAGCAAGTGCTACCATGCCTGGCAACAGCATCTCCTCTGTGTAAGAAATCAGTTAGCGTTAGGTATACTTTTCAATATAAAATGTACTACTGTACACATTTCTTTGGATAGTTTTATTTATTTGAGAATTTTCCACTACACTCATAAACCACAGAAATTTCCCCCAAATTCCAGTAAATTAGCTTATAAATTATGCCTTAATTATCTCAAGTAGATTAGATAAGATAGATAATACACAGATAGATTTGATTGAATGATTCCATTTACTGGTTCAGATTTCAGGTTCAAAACACCTAAAATCCCTAAACCCACCCTAAAACAACCATGAAAAAACCAGTCTAGGACTGCAAATCAATAATGCAAAGTAAATTATAAACCAAAAACACCAGAAAACTGAGGTTTGCTATTATATTTTCTGGGTGTTTTCTTTCTGGTTTATTTATTTATTTATTTATTTATTTATTCTCTAAAACTAGTCCAGATGCAGTTGAATACACATCTGCTGCCCTCATTACGGAAAGAAGGAGTTAAGTAATTTAAACTTCAAAGTTTAAACTTTTTTTCCTTACATTTACACTCACAGATTTTCTTTATTGTGTTATTTACATACTTTGTTATAAAAGTGCAAATTTGATAGCCAAAATGGCTTGTGCGTGGATCTGTACCCTGACACTTTCTAGGGGTCACCTTTGGCAATCACTAGGGGGCTCCAAGTTTCACCCTCCTGACAGGCACAATCTTCTGACCTGGCAGAGTCGGTGTAAAGATTACTGAAGCCATAGCAGCTGCCTGCGTAAGGCATGTGTGCACTGGCTGGTACAGAACAGGCCTTCAATAAGTGACAGCTAAAAGAAACAGTGTCACTTTTACGAACTTTAACTCAGGGAGCTTATGAGGCAGGCACAGGTCACGGGAGCCAGAAAGCAAGAGTACGAAGTAAGCTGCTTTTTGGCATGCTTAAGGAGAACCAGAATACACATTTCAGTTACAACTGTCAGGACAAGTCAGCACAGTGGTTGAAAATGTATGCAGTGGCATCTGCTCCAGAAATGCCAGTGGACCACTCACTTGAGCAAGATGCCCACAGATGTCCTTTCCTTCAGGTAGATGCCCTTAAAGGTGACATCCTTAAAGGCAATCTCCATCCTTGGCTAAAATGGAGCGACTGGCAGTCTTCACTGTGCTCCATAGGGATCTCTTGGGTGTGACTGAATGCGCTAACCCGTGGAATGCTTTTAGCACAGCATCTGGCAGGAAGTCCACAAATGCTAACTCACAGACTGGCAGTGACACCCAGAGCCCCCATGGAGCCAATAAGAGGAATCTGCATAGACCTTGCAGCACGGTGTGTATTTCCGATCCATGTACTGTTCCTCAAATATGGTCTAGTGTGGCCAACGAAATACTGACTATATTAACACTCCTACTCATAGTAGCTTTCAAAAAACAAATGATGATTGTTGAAAATACTTAAACAATAGAGAAATATTTAAAGTTAAAAATGAGTTCATTTTTCCACCACCACCTCTCCAAGGTCCCACATCTACTTTGCAGGGGAGACTTCAGGAAAGCACTACAATGTGCACTGCTCAGGTCCTGCCCGGAAGTGTTATATAGCTATTTCTATAAAATGAGGCCTACCATATATCATTTGCTCACCCAACAGTAAGACATAGGTATCTTTCGTGTCAATGCACAAAACCCTGATTTATTATTTGCAGCTACTTCTTAACACTTCAGGATATGGATAGATATAATTTATTAAGCCACTAAGTAAACATTTTGCTTACCTCCAATTCTTGGCTATTAAAAATAAGCCCACAGTGAACACCCTGGTTGAAGGGCACTCAGCACATGTATGGCTATTTCTGCTGGATAGCTTCCAAAAAAGAGGATGTGCTAAGTCAACGGTTTTGCACATTTTATAACATCAATGAGTTTTATCAAACTGACCTCCAAGAGGATGTCCCCATTGTACTCTCTGTCACTAGCCATCTTCTTTAAAAAATAGGGACAAAAAATATATTAGTATAGAGGGGTATGGTGTAATAGGGTATAATCCCAGCACTATGGGAGGCCAAGGCAGAAGGACTGCCAAATTTGAGCACAGCCTGGACAAGTCGGTGACTTTACCAGATCCTGTCTCCGAATTTTTAAGACAAAAGAGATTGGAGATTGTTATGGTTTATGTTTAGATGATCCCTAAAAGCTTTCTGCGCTTATAGGGCTTTTTCAGAGGTGGCTGAATCCAGAGTGTATAATGCTGGGATTAAGGGTTTGTGATTAGCAAATGAGCCCACTGATTGGTCTGGTTTACATTGTTCTGGCTAGGATTAAGGGTGTGAGTGCTACACCCACCCTAGGATAGGTGGCCTGAATATAATATAAGGGACAAAAGTCTTGTCTCCCTCCCCCTTGTTGCTTTTGCCATCCATCTTCCGCTGCCATGAACCGCTGCCTCTCTGCCATGTGCCACCTTGCTTAGGAGTCAGTCAATTATGGACTGGAACTTTTACAAACTGTGAGCTAAATAAACCTTTTCTCCCTTAACCTGTGGGAGTTGAGTAGTTTGTCTCAGGAATAAGAGAAAAGTAACTAAGATAGAGATGGAGATATAGCTTAATGTGAAGGCCTTGGGCTCAATCTCCAGTAAAGTATTCTATCATGTGGAGAAAACAAATACCTCTGCACTAAGTGGCCTTTGTCTTTAAAATAGGTTGAGAATCACAACTCCAAACCCTTAGTTTGCCCTTCTTGGCACTTAAGCCCCTACGCTACTGGCTAAGCTCACAGCATAACCCCCCTGCAGTGACCTGGCTTACACTGACACTACTTCTCTAGGAAACCCAGCACTGTCCAGGAGCCAGTTCATGGCAGAGGGGAAAGAAGCAAGACCCAAAGGACTTCCATCATCACTCAGAGGGCTGCCTGGCCCACTCTGACAGAATTGTTCCGCGTGGTGCTCACATAAAAGCTCAATTCCACTGCCGTGTTTTAAAGCCATAAAGGATTAAAATCTCTTAATCAATAATCATTGGCCTACAGGTGGTTTACACGTTTCATTTTGTTCCCCAATATTATTATGGTGAGGAGCAAGAGCAGATAAAGGTCATGTTGGTAATTAAAGCTATATTGTAGAAATATGTACACCCAAGATATGATTAAATAAGAAAATATTACTTGGTTCAGTATCATCATTAAACTTGCATTAACTTATAAATATTTAAATGTACCATATGATGATCATAAATAATGTGTTTTTGTCAGTTTCTAAAGTAATATAACCCATAAACCCTCTGAAATATTATTGCAGAAATAAACAGTCAAAAAAGTATGCAAGCGACTTACATTCAAATGCTGTAGTTGTGGCTTCAGGCAAAACCTGGCCTATCACATCCTAGAAAGAATAAAGAAACACAATTAGCCATCTTTATTGCTAATATGTTGTAAATCCTAGAGGAAATATGAGGACCGGGAAAAGATTTTTGAAATGTTGGCATAAACTATAGAAACATTTGCTCATAATTACAGTTAGCTAGTAAAGTAAGCCCAAAGTTTAAATATCTATTCCAGGAGAAAAATTTTTAGAAAAATCTTTAGATAATATTAACAAGCTTTTATTCTCAATTCCACAGTGTATACAACTACACTATTGTGTGTTTACACACACACACACACACACACACACACAAACAGTATCTTCTAAGGAGGATGTGGAAAGTACTTGGGGGAGGTTAAGAAAGGGGTTTGAGTCAGATCATCCCAAGACTGGATCTCGGCTCTTTATTAGATGTATGACTTAGGGCAAAAATAAATTACTTATTCAGATTATCTTCCAAAATGAATCTAGTAATAGTTACAGAAGCTAAGTAAAAATTAAATAACATAATAAACATAACTTGGGACCTGGCACATTATAGACAATCAACGGTTCTAATACTTAAGGAGTCACACAGTGCCTTAGGCTCAGTGGTGGGAGTTCAATCCCCAAAGTCTCACAATGATGATGCATAAAGCAACATTTCCTATAAACAATTCTTGTCAACCTTTACTCTTAAGCAATGGGAAAAATATTTAAATGACACCAAAATAGAAGTTAATCTAGCTTACCAAAAATTTCATAAAGTGTATATGATCTAGTATCAGTGTATAACAGATCTACCAAGTTGAAAACAATCAAAAATCAGTTAAGAGGCACAGAATGGCTAAGTTTTGCGAAACAGGACCCTCGTTATGTCCAGGGCCACTGGAATGGCCTGCAGACCACATTTCTCTCTGGGAGCTCTGCCACAACATCCCTCCCAGGTTGTGCCACAACTGGCACCAAGCAACTAGCTGACAAAGCCGCTCACAGTATCTCTCAGCAGGGAGCCTGAAGCCCTTCCAAGCAGGGCATTTAGTAGAGTGGCACTGCAACTCCCTTCAGAAGGCAATTCTTTACAAGCTTCAGCTGCAATTGCATTTGCATAATAGTCCTACCTCTACCATGCAATTTTTTTCCCCCAGAAATAAATCTGTGCGTATAAAATTAATCAAAGAGACCTAGCCTGAGCAGTCCTTACTCATCAGAGTCAAAAGAGATTATTATGCTTTCTCTGACTCTGGTCTTAGAAGATGGAACATTGACTTTTTGAGTATATGTCTGTAAAAGATTTGGGGTGAGAAAATGCTTTCTACCCACTGACAGAGAGAAAAGACCTATTAACAAGAACTGTGGAGTGAGTAAGAATAAAGTAGATGGGCAAAAGCAACACACATGAGGGCACAGACTCTGCCAGCCCACCAACTGGGCTGGACACTGACTCTGTCTCTCACTAGTAGAATCATTAGGTGCCTCAGTTTCCTTCTGCATACTATGAGATCATAATTGTACCTGCTTTGTAGTACTAATGAGTTGATATTTGTAAAGGGCTTAGCAGAATGTCCACCAGATGGCAAGTGCTGTATTAGTGTGTGTTAAACACATGAACCACTGATTCTTACAAAGCTCAGAGTTAAACCTTTAAATGAGGCTCTCAACCATTAGTGGAGGATGATGGTCATTGCTCACTTGCACCTTTCTGCAGCATTGACTGAAGACCCTTTCTAGCCAGTACAGGAAGAAATGGGGAGGGATGGGAATGGGGAAAGGGACACTCTGTCCCACTCCTCTTCATTCAGATCCTCACTGGTTATTTCCAGGGAGCACTGATCACTGCCAACCGATCTTAACATGTGAACTGCACTCTGCAGAATTACCAAACTAACTTAGGATCTTTCCTGCTAGTGAAAAGCCGAGCCTTTCAAACAATGGCATGGCTTGCCCACCAACATCAATCAAGGCTTTAGATCCAACATGGGAAAAAGAGAAGGCGGCAAAAAAACAGCAAACAATTGAGAGAATCAAGTAAACACAACTGATTTTTTTATCTTTATTTTTTTTCTTCAAAAAAATAAAATGAGACTATCCTAACAACAAAAGGGTCTGAAAATTAACCTGTATCTACTGGCCATCTTTAAGCAGGGTATATGTAATGACTTTTTGGTACATTTTCTACTTTAAGGACTCACTCCTTATTTCCAAGTGATCTTCTTCTTACCCCTGGCAGGGTAACATTTTACCTCACCTAATGAAACTGCAAAACTTAAATTCACTTATCTTGGTAGTGATCGTTTCTTTTTTTCTTATCCCTTGTAATGAATCAGATAAATACCTGGTAGACCAAAAGCATAACTGACCATCTACAACATGCCAGAAGCCTTTCAAGTAAGCCCGACAAAACTTTTAAGAAGATTATAACATGGTCCTAAAGATAAAAGACTTAACGATATAAAATACTTCTAGGATGATAAAAGCCAAGTAGAGACATAAATAACAAATGGCAGTAACTAACTGACTAGGAAGAGAAAAAAAATCACAGGTTAACTTTTACACAAAAATTTAATAGATGAGTGGAAACCACAGAGGGAACTTTAAGACACAGGATACAAAAAGCAGAGTGGATGGGGTTGGATATTCCCTCCCTTCATACCTAGCTCAAACCAACCTGCAAAAGTTTTCCAGCTCTCCAGGAAAGAGGAGGAACAGAGAGCTGGAAAATGGACCCAACAACTCCCAATGTCTCTGTCCTTGAAGATCAGGGAGGCTTCTTTTACACGACAGCCAGTCCCCAAAGATTCAGGTAAAAGACAAGGCCCTAGAGTCCCCGTGACCTGCCCAATGTCTCCTACTTGGCAAGGCAATGCCTAGAGCCCTCAGCTGAGGGTCAGAGACATTCAATGACTGTGACTCAGTGATGCAAGCTCTAGGTGGCTTTAGCAAGGCATTTTTTCCTCCGGGATTTCACTCTCCCTCAAGAAAGCTGGGTCACGGTGATCTGAGACTGAGGAAGGAAGATTCCAAGTTCAAGCCTACCCTGGACAATTTAGCCACTTAGCCAGTCCCTGTCTTAATATACAAAATAAAAAGGACAGGGTTTGTAGCTCAGTGCAAAGGCCCGGGGAGCTAGAGAGGGGTTGATTGGAAGAAGGGGATGCTGCCGGGTTTCTTATGGCTTTAAAGTTTAAGATTCCAAGCCAGAGATACTGACATTCTGTCAGTTTCCACCTTTTCTTGATGAAGCAATGAGGTGAAGCAGGAGCAAAGATCTAGGGGCTCTAGGCTTGCTCACTGCCAAGCTGCTATGAGGAACAGAAGACAACATGGCATTAGGGTCTCCCTGGGCTCACCCAGGTGGACACGTGTGGGCACCCTGCACTCCAGCTCTGTTTGTTGGCCATCACTACAGGCCCTCCTTTGGACCAGCCAGCCTTGAGTCAGAAACAACTTGGAAGTGCTCAAGAAGCAGAAGGCAAGGCCCTACTCCTTGCATCTAGAGAGAACGCTTCCTGAGCACTCACTATGGGCTTGACTGCCCTGAGCATTTTATAGGAATCACCTCTGTAGTCCTCACATCTCTAAGCACTATTTTTATCCCGGGCCATCTTTTTCTAAAACAGATGAAGAAACAAGACACCTGTCCAAGGGGTAAGACCCCTGAGCTACAGCTGCAGTCTTTATTTTTTTATTGAGACAGGGCCTTGCTAAGTTGTTAAATGGCCCAGTGAGGCTTGAACTTGCCATCCTCCTGCCTCAACTTCCCAGAGTGCTGGGATTAGAGGTACGCACCACCATGCCTGATTCTTGGAGCTTTTTATTTTGAGATAGTCTCACAAAACTGCTCAGCCAGCCACAAACTTACAATTGTCCTGTTTCAGTTTCACAGACAGCTGGGTTCACAGGTGCACATCACTGGGCTTAGCTAGTCCATGATCTTAAACACTGTACTGATCTACTTAAAATAATGCTTTCCACTGTTTCATATGAGAGAAAGCTCCTCTTCCTCATCATTAACACAATCTCAAGTCTCCATAAATCTTTAAGGCAAGTTATCAACATCCATATTTCCATATTTTATGAATAAGGAAACTGAGGCTCAGAAAGGTCTACCTTTCTGAGTGACTCATATAATTAGGTCTACCTTTTTGAGTGACTCATAATTAGCAGGGCAACTGGCACGGAACTCAAATTTTTTGATTTGTAACTCAGTATATTCTGTGCACAGAAATATAATGCAAGCATAATTTTTTTTTTTTTTGAGACAGGGTTTCTCTATGTAATTCAGGCTGGCCTTGAAGTCACTTTATAGTCCATACTGACCTCGAACAATACTCCCTGCCTCAGCCTCCTGAGTGTTAGGAATATAGGTGTATACCACCTGTAATGCCCATCAAGAATCTTATTTCAAGTTCCCTCATTAAACAACTATTTTGGGGTCTGAAGGCATCAGAAACAGAAGGAAAACAGCAATCTCCTTCTCCTCTGAAAGTTTACCTTCCAAGGGTACAGAAGGGTACAAAAGTGTGTTGCCTGGGGTACACACACGAGGTTGGAGAACACAGAGGTGCCACATAACCCACACCAACACAGAGAACAACTTAAGTTTGGCTTGGTTGGAGAAGCCAGTTGAATAAATGGGCAGAGCAGAACTGACTAATTCTACCTACCTGGGGCACAGGGTCCTCACAGGAGTGTGGTAAGAGAGGAAGCTGGGTGCCAGGCAGGTCAGAGCCAATCAAGATGGACCCAGAGGACCTTGCTAAGGAGTCTAGGCCCATCAAGGAGATCTCTGTGCATCAGTGTGGAGAACTCCGGATGCAAAGAAGATAACACTCACTGCATGAGATTGGAAGCTGCTGGCTCAGTACGGCCTCTGAAAATCTGCATGCTTGCATGCTCAGTAACATGCAGAACTCAAAACAAACTTACAGGAATCAAATTTTTATTCAAGACAATTTAAAAAAAATCACAAGTCTTCTTCTGAAGAACCTGCCACTCAGGTCCCTCTTATCCCACAGGTAAGTTTTGCTGTATGTCTGCCTCTTCCAATGTGCCTCTTGGGTTCGGTATATAAAATGGGCACAATGCAATCAAAGGAAGACTAGAAAGATATGAAAGAGCTGCAGCATGAGACAAAAAATACTAAGAGGAAGGAAATCTGAATTTTGGTACTGACTCTCCCAGGAAGTACACAGCTCTGAAGAAGTCCTGTTTCCTCACCTCAGTAATCCCCTGGGGGAGAAGGGGTGCATGGGCTAAACAGGGTCTACAGGGTTATACTCAGCTCTAGCATTCCATAATTTCATTTGAAATATATTCTGAGTGTCCTAAAGGTAACACAACATCAATTCTAAGATCAATTTTAATTCTAATATTTCCCCTCTACTTTATTAATATCTCTACAATCAGGTTGTTTTTGTCACAGTTTAACAGACAGCGTTTTTTTCTTTCTTAGTAAGATTTTTGTTTTTCAACCAAGGGCATCTTGGTACGGTCAAGTATTGTAAGTTACAGTAGTGCTGGTTTCCCTGGCTGTCCCAGCAGGCCACCAAGTTCAGAGCACTCAGAAGAAAAACACAGCTGGAATCTAGCCAGGGACATTCCTGGATCATTTGGGACAGCACTCTCTTCTAAACTTGGCTTTGAATATCCCGATTGATAATGTCTGTGGGTCCCTGCCCGCGCTGTGAGCTTGCTGAAGGCAGGGGTTCAATCTGATTCATTTAATTTCCAAGGACCCTGAACATCTACCAGGTTCCAGTGAATGCAACTGATAAATGCTGGGTTTGACGAGAGAAACAAAAAAATAAATCTGTCTCCAAGGAGGGCAGCAAGGGCCACCACCAGTAGCAGCTTAAACCACCAGTGGTGAAGGACTAACTACCCAGAATCCTGAGTCCCCCTCCCTGGGATTGTGACACTGAAACCACCACTCACCAGCACATCTCTGAAGAGTAACTGAGGCCCGGAGTGCACTGTCCAGTCCACCGCGCCACTATTTGGAATCTTGATGCGAATCACCAGCACCTGGTTGTCCATGGCAAGATAGGGGCCAAGGGCCAGCCACGGCATTACAGGTTAAAGGGGCTCACATCCTGTCCCCTGAGTAGGAGGGGATTCAAGAGGTGACAAGAGGGCAAAAGGTGAAACCAGGGGCCACGAGGGCGAGGGGCGCCCGGGACAGGGCCCGCAGACACGGGCAGGGCCAGGCTCCGCGGGGTTGGAGGGAGTCCCCCAGGGAGGGTACTCAGGGAGCGGCAGGGGCCAGGAGGAACCGGAGGTCGGAGGCTGCGGGGTTGGAAGAGAGGGCAAGCGGGGTAGGACGCTCTGCGCGGTCAGTGTGGACACGAGGAAACTGCAGAGCAAGGACCCTACTGGGGAACACACCGCGGCAGGTGTCCGCCCCTCCGTAGTGCCCGGGGGGGGGGGGGTCCCACACCTGATGGGACTCAGTCTGGGGCTGCTAGGAAGGAACCCCGGGCGGCCGGACCCCGAGAAGGCTGAGGGGGGCCCTTCAAGGAGAGTCAGGGAGCCAGTCCTCTGGCGGCTGGGAACCAGAGGGCGCGGTGCCTGTGGGCTCAGCCTCCCGCTTGTCGAAGCCCGCGACCCGGCTGCGACTGTGGCGGCGAGAAGAAGAGGAAGGTGGCGGCGGGCGCACTGTTGCTCCGGAACCAAAACGCGCCGGCACCGGAACCCCGGGAGCCGACGTGCGGGACCCGCCTCCCGCGGCGCCATGTTGGAAGAGGGCAGCTCCCGGGCGGGGCGCCCAGCGAGCGCCCGGCGCGCGCGAGCCCGGCGGAAGGCTGCCTGTCGGGTGCGATCACCAGACCTTCGTCGCCCAGGGAGGTGACGGCCCTTTCTCCACGCTTATTAAAGGTTAAGAGGTAAAAACATCTAACAGATGAAGGACGATCCTGATTTAAGGCTTAAAATTGCTTACTGCTTGCTTACCTTTACAGAAGCCTCCAGAACAGGACGGCGTCTCCCGCTTATCCCCACTTTGTCAAGCTGTGCTTATTTGTGCCCCAAATTGAAAAGAGCAAGGCAAGAACTAAAAGAATTGGGAGTTACACCCTGATTCAAAGTCACGGATCTGGAGTCTATCATCTGGCTTTCACATTAGCACACATGCATTTTTTAGTGAGGTCCCTTAGGAGTGCCTTAAAAATATGAAACAGCCCCTGATTCAAAAGCAAGAAACTCAGTAAGGAGTTTAACTTCTTGAGGGCAGCTGCAGGAATGGCATCATACTCTGTTATTAAATTGTTGAAAAGTCAGGTGGAGACCATATATTTTCAACTAAACTGCTGTTGCTTATACAATTGATGATGGCAGTTGCTATAAACCTTGGTTATTTTTAAATACCTTGTTACTTTAGATCTTAAAATGCATAACCCTGTGGATCTATGGTGCCCATATAGAATTTGTTTACAAATGGTAGCTTCGGCCTTTTTGCTTTGTAATGAGAAGTGCTCACATCGGTTTTCCTTTTGAGGTTTGAATTTTGCATAAAGTCAGTGGGGAATAGCCTGTTTTCTCTTGAACAGATATAATTGATTAATATGAGAAGACAAAAAGCTAAATGTTGATCATTTTTAGTATATTTTTTCTGCATAATTTTTACTACGTAGATTTCATCTATATTTAATTTGAAAGGCCATTGTAGGAGAAAAATTATCACCTTTTACTTATTGTAACTTAATAGCTTTGGTAGAAATTCATTTAGTTAGATCCTGCAGGTATTCTAGGAATTTGCCTTCCAAACTACATTTCACTTCTCTGAAAGATAAACCCATTCACCCAAAGTCCCCATATACTTTGTGTTGAAAGTTCATTTCCCATTATTTGAGAAAATAGACCACAAAAGTGGAGATTTTCTAGGAGCCTATGATTTGTTTAAATGTCTTTTTTATTCAAGGTACCATAGGGAAACAAATTGTATTTACCAGATTTGCATAAATATTCTGAAGCTTTTCTTACACAAATGGAAAACTCATAGTTCTTTCCCAATATTTGCAGTCAATATAATCACATTTCAGTTTTTATAGCCTTGATAGAGTAGAAAACCAAAATCTTAGCTTTGACAATTTGAACAAGAGTATTCCAGAAATCTCTTAACTCTTATTGTAAGAAACATCATAGTCACAGAGATAGTACTAGACAATTCCATAATGATCTTAAGTGATAAAATATCATTTTATCTCTTTACCACTAGAAGAAGCTCTATTATCCAAATTTAAAGTATATTTAACATTCATGAAATTGTATGCAATCTTGAAACTTTTCCTGATGGAACGTTTTTTTTCTTTTTCAGGAGTGGATATAAGTGAGGTAGTCTCTCAGGCACTGGCTGAGGTACTTGCTAGCATAAAGCAGACTGTAGTAAGAGAATCTTCACTTGTATTTTTCCTAGTGGAGAGCTGTTATAGTTTGGACCTGAAATGTCTCCCAAAGGCCATCCGTCCCCAACCTGTGGCATTATTGGGTGGTGGTAAAAGCTTTAAGAGATGGGAAGAAGTGGGAAAAAGCTCATTGGAGGTGCGACTTTGAAGGGGAGATGGGGGCCCTGGCCCTTCCTCTCTCTCTCCTTGATTCCCATTTGCCATCAGGTAAGCAGGTTTCCTCCATCGTGCACTCCCTACCACGACGTTCTGCTCCACCACAGGCCCAGAAACAATGCCACCATCAACTGAAACCATGAGCCAAAGTGAGCTTTTCCTCCTTGTAAGTTGTTTATTTTGTTTCAGTGGTGGAAAGCCAACATCAGGAACTCAGTGATATAATGGAAAATTCCTCTTTTGATAAAATTATATTCTGATGGGAAAAACAGACAAATGAATAAAATATGTGTTCTATAGTAGTAAGTGCCAGGAGAAAACTGACCCCAAAAGAGAACATGAAAACAAAGCAGTTTACCAGTGCTACACTAAGGAATGTAAAAATTCCCCCATATTGATTCCTCCTGCTGGTAAATTTAATGAAAATACACACTTCTGTAAAGTGCCTAGTTCTGAATTTTTAAAAATTGTGATAATATACACATAACAGTAAATGTAACCATTGCAAAGTATACAGTTCTATAGTGTTCAGGATGTTCACGTTCTTGTAAAACCAATCTCCAGAACTTTTCACCTTGAAAAATTGAAACAACTTCACTCCAGTCCCTCATGTTTTTCCTCTTTGTAGGAGTTTAATCTAAATACTTCATACAAGTAAAATCATGCAATATTTATCTTCTTTGTCTGGCTTATTTTACCTATAATATTATCCTCAGTGTTCAGCTATTCTGTAGTTTAAGTTAGAACTTCCTTCCTTTTTAAGAATAAAATAAGACCACCAAATGTATATATGGAATTGTATTTCTTCATTCATCCATTGGTAGACATGGGGATTGCTTCCACTTTTGGCTATTTTAACTAATACTACTATAAACATATGTATAAAGGTATCTATTCCAGGCTTAAGGGTGTAGGGTAGTGGTGAAGGGTGTGCCTAACATTTTCAAAGAGCTTGGTTTGATCTCTAGTACTAAAACAAAACAAACAGACCAGATTTTATTTTGCTTTAAATTCTTCTGGATATTGCATTAGTCTGTTTTTCATGATTATGATGAAATACCTGAACCAGGCTAACTTTATAAAGAAGAGGTTTCTTTAACTTACAGTAGTTTTGTGAGGTTCAAGGACATTTAGCTGGCATGAGTTTGGCTCTGGTAAAGGATCTCATGGCTGACAGTATCAGTGTGAGAGGAAGAGATTACTACTAATACAAGCAGCCATAGTGACTGGGACCACACACCCATTTCCAGAGACAGCGCCCCAGTAACCTATAGACCTGCTTCTATGTCCTGGCCTCCTTACTGGCCACCATCTGCCAATACTGCTTCCCTGGTCTACAAGGGAGCTCAGTCTTCAACACATGAACTTTTGGGAGGAATGCATTTATATCCAAACCATAGAGGAATGACCAGATGTATTCTTAGAAGTAGAATCGCGTATCATAATTTCTGTTTAATGTTTTGAGGAACTATCATAACATTTGTGACAGTAGTTGTACCACTTCGTATTCCTGCCAAAGTGCCTCAGTGTTCTAGTTTCACCCCGTCTTTACCAGCACTTGCTATTTTCTGTTTTCTCTTTCCACAGTGGCCAAATTATTGGGTGTGAAGTGACATTCACGGTGGTTTTGGTTTTTGTACTAGCAAAATTCAGCATCTTTTCATATGCTTATTGTTCATTTGTGTATGTTTTTTTGGAGAAATACCTTTTCAATCCTTTCGCTGATTTGTGAATTATTTTTAGTGGTGTTGTTTTAAAATGATTTTATTTAGTGAATAAAATTATACTTTGCTGCTGTAAATTCTGAGAGGTCTTCTTTTATCTCTTGTTACCTTACTCTCAATCCTACTGTTAGCCCGGAGTCTGAGTCCTGCCTCACCATTGCCTCTACCTTAGCCCAAACTGTTCTTTCCTCATCTTCTGTTTTCACCCTTGCCTCTCCTGTAAATATTCTGTTGTCAATCTCATTACCAGAATGAGATCAGGTCACTTGTTTGGTTAAAACTCTCCATATGGTTTCCTATTTTATGCAGAATGAAAGCCAGAGTCTTCTCCTTGGCCTACAAAACTCTGCACATTCTGCCCTTCTAAACTTCGTGTTGTTCTGGGGCTGGGCATTGACCCAGAGCCTCCCACATACATGCCCCTACCACTGAGCTACACCCCCAACCTCTCTTCTGAACCCTCGAACTTCGGTCCCCACTATTCTCCATCACTCACACCAGCCTCCTTCTCAGTGCTCTTCGAACATGTCAGGAATTCCACCTTATGGCCTGGACATTTGTTACTTTTCTCTGCTTGGACCACTTTTACCCCCACATATCTGCATGGCTCCTTCCTTCTTAGGCCTTGGCTCCAGCGTCGCCTCTTATCTGAGGCCTTCTCCAACCGCAGACCTACTCATACACCCTATGCACAAGCATGAAGATGAGAATGACTCCCAATCCCTTTCTCTATTTCAGATACTGTCTCTGGGAAGCTGGAATCTGGTGCATGCAGCAAGGAACTGGACCCTCACTTCTTTGGACCTTGGTTCTTTGTA